TATATACATATTGGAAAAAAAGGGGCTTGTTAGATGTTGGATAAAGAAGTAGATGAAAAAACTCCCTGATTAAACAAAAGTATTGAGACAAAGAGAAAAATATTGAAAAGAATTGGTTTTTTAGTCAATCCAATATTTTTCAATACTTTTTTCTTTGTCTCAATACTTTTTTTTATTCAGGGCTGAAATCTTTTTTTAAGGTAAAAGATTTTTTTATAATTTATTTACTAAAAAGTCTTGACAAACTCTTTTTTTAAGATGAACCCTGTAAGAAATGTTAAAATTGTATTTCAAATAAAAAATTACCATTCAGCAGCCGAAATGGAAGTAGATTTCCTATTTAAATATCACTGTGAAAACAATTCATTTAAATGAAATGAGGCTCGTTAACTATAAATAAATCTCTTATTTAAATATCACCAGAAATATTTATTTGATACAAATAAATTCGTTTATTTGAGACAAAGTTGTAATATATTTGAATGAAATCCAGATTTGTTTATAGTTAACAAATATTTCTTTGGTGCTAACAACCGTATATTTCAACCAAATCAGATTTGTTAACTATAAATAAATGGTATGTTTGAATATACTCAAAGCAATGATTTTTAGTTTTAGGTTAGGAAAGTTGTAAAAGTGGACATATCGAACGTTTGGGGTAAAATGGGCACTTCTTTTGGAATTATTAATTATACTGAAATTTACAATGACAATAAAGTTAGCCGACATCTAAAAATTTTTAGAATTTTTTTTACTAAAAAAAATTTTTTTTTTAATTTCATTTGTAAAAATTCGAAAAACTGTAAGGGCAATTAAAAAAAACATTATTTAGTTCTAATTTAATACATTAAGCGAAATAAAAAATGTCGACTAACTTTATTATTATAAATTAACAGACATCTGTAAATTTTTTCGACTTTTATGACAGTAAAATTATTATGAAAAAATTTTAATTAAAACATTTCACATGTTTAAATTAATAAAAATTATAAGTGAAAATTTTTAGAAGCATTTTTTTATTGTAATTGATTTGTTATTAAAATTTTTAAAATTGACAGCTGACGGCTAAGTTCAGTATCATAGTAATCATAGTATTTTTATTAGTATTATAAGTAATTGTAGTATATCTTTTTACGAAAATAAACTAATATTATTATAAAATATACAAATTTTATATTCAATAACACATTTGAAAATTTTTTGTAAAAAAATTATTACTAAACGACATGGATTTTAGGTTAAGAAATTTTTTTTTCATTCCAATAACTGCATAAATATAAAAAAAATTTTTATGAAAAAAAAAATAGTACGTCACAACCGGAAAAAATAAAATTTCTTTAAGATCAATAGGTAAATTAATATTATAATAAAATAAATATAAGAGAAACAGTGGTTGGTCAAGAAAAAAGTCAAATGTAAACAATACTCTTACATTCAAAAATAGCGACACCAAGCGTAATTTACTTGAAGCGAGATTTGTTAATAGTTAACAAATCTTTATTTGAATGAAATAAATGAGTCGATTCAATTATATAAATCAAAACGAAGTAGTATTTGATTCAAAGTAATATATATTTAAATAAAAGAAATTTGTTAACATTAAATAAATATTTTTGATTCATTTCAAATAAATCTGTGCATTTGAGTCAAACAAACCGTTTTCTCAGTGTATAGAGCAAATTATACAAAATGTGTTAGTCAATTTTACAATTCAATCCACTCTTATAATTTAGATGAAAAAATATGAAAATATATCATGTAAGAGCAAACTATTCGTAACATGATTGGTCAAATATATCATAAGCATGAAAATATAAATAATTCCATACCAACATTCACACGCGCGCTAGCGCGTGCAACGTATACTAGTTATTGTAAAAATTGACAGTCAGATTTTTGAAAAGAAATTTAAGGGAGAGAGACAGTTGTAAGGTTGGACTCATCGGTAACCTTGCAGTGACCGACAATACAAATCGGAATTTTCGCCCGGGAATCGAACTCAGAACTCTTAGTTGCTAGTCAGAGATTCTCCCTCTACGATACCCGAGATAAACTAATATAGGTGTCCATTACCACTTAAATAAACTCGCACTCCAGCAGTGTGCGCGGCCAACACTCACACTAATTGAAAAATATTCCAATTCAACTATTGTAAAATTTGTTACTTCTATTGGAAAAGTACAGCGGCAGCACTGAAAATTTTTGTCCAAAATATTTGAAAGTTACCGCTAATACAAATATAGTCCAGCATTACGATAGTTGTATTGGAAATTTTCGTAGAATTTTTTTGCTGGGTACGTGATAATGTTAACTAGTCAAAATATACAAGCAGTTCTCTATTACTTATATAAAGCCGTTTAAACTAAACCTTCATGTGTAATAATTTAGCATAATTATAATTATAACTAACACTTTAATTGTAAACTCTTTACTATAATTTTGTATCATTATATCATAAAGTGCCCCTGTTATTGGTCAGTAGGCTGTTGGGACTGTAATAAATAAATAAATTTACAAAATCCAATCGATGAGGTTTTTTCATTGTCTTTTCCCAGTATACATTCCAGTTCAGATTTTTCAATTGTTGGAGACAATTGTCCACGATTTTTATAAAGCAAGGTAGTTCTTGGGATGATGAATTTTAATGCAGTTATTTTTACAGGTTTAGCGGCCTTTACTTCAGCTAATGCCTCCTCTAACTTTTCACCGTCATAATTTGCTCTTTTTTTTTTAGAATTGCAGAAAAAAAAAATTAGGAAAACGGTTGACTTTGAAAGCCATCCCTGCAAATTTCCGCTAATTCCATACCTGAGCGCTTAAAACCGCACTTATGACGTTTTTGGGCTCTCCGAGCTCGAAGAGTTAGTTAGCTGTTATATGCTTTTGAGCTCTTCGCAAATAAAGAAAAAAAATACAGTACATCAGAAAGCTTTAAATTGATGAATGAAGTGTATGACTGTGTTGCATTAAATGTAAATAAAAATTTTGTATTAAAATATTTAAATGACTAAATCTTCGGAATTTGGACAATAAATGAAGATGTTAAATTATAGGGATTTTGTATTAAGTTTTGACGATACTTTTCACAAATATATGTAGGTGATACGAAGTTCACCGGGTCGTCTAGTATTATCATTATATCGTTTTTACTTGTATACCAATTTTGGTTTCTACAAGACTGTAACCTTTCCACATTTATGCTGTTACCACTAAGTTTTTCCAATTTTTAAGTGTTTTCTTTTGTTATCGTATAACTCTTGTATTGTTATATCCGGCTATTTTAACTTCGCCTTTTTAACTAACACTTGTTTTTTTTTTTTTTGCCTCCGACATATTCTTTGCACTTATAATTCCACACTGTGCTGCGACTGTGGCCGACTTACGCGTTATAATCAGTATCTGCATTTGCATTACGGCCTTAAATAGTATGGAGGTACTTCTATAATGACATTTTTACCTCCATAACTACAGAGGGAAGACACGGAAAACCCGGCCGGTACAGAAGCTGGCAACGTAACGCACATATTTTTTATTCATAATCACTAAGGTGGTCGTTAAAAATTAAATTTTTTCCGGCGCCCAGAAAAATCTTTCTTTTTAACGAAAAACTATGGGAAAAATTTTGCTTTTTGCTTTTTGATTTTAAACAAAAAGAACACGTGCCGACGGTTAATTGAAGTTCATTTTTCGATAAGATTATAGTTTTTTGAAATATTTGTCACAGTATTTAAATTTGGACAAAAAATCATGGAAACAGGCTTGTAGGAAATTAAATTCTCTACAAAACGGTTTCTTTTGGTTTTAGATGAAGTTCATATCCAACGAGATAATCTTATTAGTAAACTTATAAACTGTATTAAGTCAGTCATTTTAGCACTAAAAACTTTATTTTTTCGGAAATATGAACAATTCTCTCAAAATATTTTGAATTTTAGGAATTTTCTTCATATTTTGACATGGGTAAATGATTTTCAATTTAATGATTTTCAAATGAAACCTCTATCGGTAAGTTATTTATGATCAATCTTGTTCATATTTTCACAGAATATGAACAAGAGACTGAAGCACCTTTTCGTCAGGTCTAGACTATCAAATTCATGTAAATCTATAAATTAAAATTAAATATTGCTGTAAAGCGGGAAAGAAAAGGAGTTACGGTAATTATTACGTGAAGCGTTCCACATTCACGTAACAGGATAATTGGGAGGAAAGATTGAGAAAGGAATTGGAAAAGACCTTCTTAATGAGAGTTTATAGAATATGCGAGGAACAATTCGAATAACTCAGACTGGGATTCGAACCCAGAACCTTACGAGGACATGTCGGCTACTCTACTATTTGAGCTACCCGGTCTATACCAAATTTACTTTTCGCTTATTCTATATACATTACGCCACACCGTCCATCTTACGGTCCACATTTTTAAACTTAAATAATGCTGTGAAGCGGGAAAGAATAGGAGTTACGGTTATTATTACGTGAAGCGTTCTATATTCACGTAAAAGGATAATTGGGAGCAAGTGATTGAGAATTGAATTGGAAAAAACCTTCTTAATATGAGTTTATAGAATATGCGAGGTAAAATTGTTCATATTTCCGGAAAAATAAAGTTTTTAGTGCTAAAGTGACCGACTTAATAGAGTTTATGTTTACTGATAAGATTATCTTGATGGATATGAACTTCATCTAAAGCCGAAAAAAACCGTTTTGTAGAGAATTTAATTTTCTACAAGCCTGTATTCATGATTTTTTGTCTAAATTTAAATACTGTGACAAATATTTCAAAAAACTATAATTTTATCGAAAAATGAACTTCAATTGACCGTCGGCACGTATTCTTTTTGTTTAAAATCACAAAGGAAAATTTTCCCCGTAGGTTTTCGTCAAAAGGAAGTATTTTTTTGGGCACCAGAAAAAATTTAATTCTTAACGACCACCCTAATAATCATTGAAAAATATTGGTGTGTGCCGGAATCGAACCCTGGTCCCACTCTTTCGAAATGCAGGTGGCGAGCCGATTATGCTATTGCCAGCCTGGGTCGTCCAGTAATTAAATATTTTATTGAGACTTCAACAACCAAATATACCAAATAACCTCGATAATAGGTTAGAATTGGTGTGTCAATAACTGTGACATTCCTAAAAAAATGAACCTTGTTATTGACACTCACATTATAATACATACATAAATGTGATTTTATGTGATGTATTACAATTAAAAACTAAATCATATGTATTTATTAACTGATCTATTCATTTTTAGTAGATTTCATAGAAATATAACTATTGCATTGGTCCTCATGACAGAACTTTTAAAAAATTTTGATATATTTCGACTCAGTTCATCAAACTGATTCAGAAAATACATATGGTTCAAAAGTTTACATATGTATGTATTTATAGATGGGTCATTCCATGTCAAATCGACCGATAGTTGGAATCGACCCCTTCCGATTTGGATGAAATTTGGTCACAAGTTTGCTTATATCATAAAACAAGGTTGTGCCAAAGGAAAAAATTAAAAAATTTTTTTTCGAAAAGTTATGCGAGATTAAAAATTTCACCATTTTCAGGTTTTTCAAATTTATTTTTGTAATATCTCGAAAACTATTATAGTTACAGATATGGGCCAAACTTCATTTTAAAGGGGATACTTAAGATTATAAAAAAAATTAGAAAAACGGTTCACCCTAAAGGCCATCCCTGCAACTTCCCGCTCATTTTGTACTTAAACGCTTCAAACTACACATTACGTTTTTGAGCTCTTCGAGCTCAAAAATATTGTTTTTGTGTCAATTTGAGCTCTTCGAGCTCAAAACTCTAATAACAGTTTAAACACATAATTTTTTGAATTTTCAAACGGCAATAACTTTTGAATGAATGAACCGATTTTCAGGTGGTTGGCGGCAATCGACGCAGTTTTTTGAACTCTATAAAAAAAGTAGCTATTTTAAGCTTCTAAGCTCTTCGAGCTCAAAAGTCTTATCAAAATTTGATAAAACACGATTTTTTAAATTTTTAAACTACTATAACTTTTGAATGAATGAACCGATTTTCACGCGGTTGGCGGCAATCGACGCAGTTTCTGAAGCTCCATGAAAAATTTTTAAGTTTAAATCGATCGAGTCATGAATTTCGAAGTTATTACAAGAAAACACTTTTTTCGATTTTTTTCGACAACGATATCTCACGAACGCATCAACCGATTCTAACGTTTTTGGTGGCGATCGATGAGGGTTTTCAAGGTTAAGAGCTGATTAGATTTTGAGACCGATCGGTTCAGCCAATTCGGAGATATTTAAAAAAAATTAAAAAAAAAACAACTTTTTTTTTTACTTTTGTTTCACTTTTTTTGCATTTTCTCGAAATCTACCAGTCCGAATCGGTTCAAATTTTCAGGAAATCTAAGTTTGGGCCAGCCCTTTCGAATGGCGCCAACCGCGATCAAATCGGTCAAGCCGTTCAAAAGTTACAAGAGGTTTACATACATACACACACACACACACACACACACACACACACACACACACACACACACACACAGATGGAAGGGTGGAACGAAGAAGTATTGCCTGGTGGCGACCCTAGACATCAGAAACGCCTTCAACTCTGCCAATTGGGAATGCATCATGCAGGCCCTCCAAGAGAAGAATGTACCAGAATACCTTCTTAAGATCGTAGCAAACTACTTTGAAAACAGGGTCCTGAAGTATGACACGAAGAACGGTCCGAGGGAGTATGATATCACTGGAGGTGTGCCACAAGGCTCAGTTCTAGGCCCACTCCTGTGGAATATTATGTATGACGGTCTATTAAGACTAACTCTGCCAAGAAACGTCAAACTCGTAGCATATGCAGATGACGTAGCCGTAGTGATCGTTGCTAAACACGTTGACGAGGATAAAACTTGTTCGATCTCACTTTTGAGCGCGTCAACCGGGTGGTGGACGCAGTGAACCTGCAACTGGAGCA